AGCCGGAGTAGCTGGTGGTATTTTTTTATTTTGTTGACCTCCGTCACCATTGTCCGTTGCTATCTGAGCATTGTTTGAACCCACTTTTCCATCTGGTAATTTCCCAAAAACACAAATTACGTAGTTGAAATGACAGACACAATAAGAAGTGGCAGTGGTGCAGCCATAAATTATCAGATTAAAGTCATTGGAGAACACATCTCTTGAGGATGTTCAGGAAGAAAGCAAGTAAAAGAAGTTGCAGTGATATCAGGAATACCCCTTGAGGATGTTGAGGTTAAAAAAATACAACGTATGCACACACCTTTCTTCAATGAAGCCTCAGATTGGCCTCCTTGCATCTTACAGTCATCCTTAAACACAGATGTTTCACCCTCTTTGCCATTCTTTAATGCTTCCTTTCTCCCATTTAGATCCTTATATACAACAGCAATGTGGCTGTGACCCTTCTGAAATTCATTTAGAATATCATACAGAGGTATGTCTTCTGAAACCCTGTGGAACAAATGAAAAGCTCAGTCAAGAATAATCCAGCTCCGGCCCAACAAGAAATAATACACAGATGGTGAAATGAACTATCTCAGGTGTGTGAACCCCTCAAAATCACAGGACTCATGTCTTCTATCAGATGACAAAAGAGAAAAAGATAATGTGGTACTATCATACCGAGGAATTCTTCTTATCATCATTTTTCTCAAAGTAACTGCATCTTCTGGATCAATCATCAAGAGATTCTTAACCTGAACGTAGATGAGATCGAACTGATAAGTTTTCGCACAGCCTCACCTTTTTTTTTTCTCGGTCAGACATGAAGCGTCACTTCAACTTTGACAAAAGTATATAATCAAGGCAAAATGACATTACCAGAACAAGTCCAATAATATTTTTGGGATTCCCAGCATAAACGGGAACTCTACTATGACCCTTTGTCATTATTGCATTCAGTGTTTCCCTGGAGAGAGAGAGAGAGAGAGAGCAAGGTTTAGAAGCATGGAAGAATGCATAAGATATGATATAGAGAACAAACTGGAATCCACAAACCCACAAAGTAAGAGGTGCATCCAGATCAAGGGAAAATGCGCTTGATATGAGAGTCATGGCATCTTTTGCAGTCTTTTCAGTCAATTGAAGTGCCCCAGCGATGATGGTAGTTTCATCATGTGTTAAATCCCCGCCTTTCCCAGCCTAAATAATAAATCATATGCATATCCGATGTTTAATCAGAGAACATGGGAAACAGGAGGACTTTCAGAGAGTTAAAACATAGGTCCGAACATAAAATTTCCTAACATATGCCACTAGACTACTAGTATAGTTCCTAACGATATAGTGCCTAAAGTGAACTTGCTACAAGCCAGAGCTTAGTTGAGTTATATACCTCATTACCATGAAAATCCACAAAAGTCTTTAGCTCTGCTCTCCTTAAAAGGGCGGCATGCCCCTTACCTAACATCCAATCCAGAACCTGCTGACAGAACATATTTAGAATAGAGAAAATAACATGATAGGCTAGCATATATTCAGCTAAGCTGCATAACACAACTTGACATACATTTAGTTGTGGTAATCATTACGTGAGTTCACATATTAAGATCACCTTACTAATTGGATAAGAAATTGGGAGGAAAAGAATAAGAAGAACACGCACGAATGGGGCCATTGTTGCCCCAACTGTCAATCCATAGCGCGTACAGACTGCTTGTGGCAATATCTGAAGTAATGTGTACAAAGAAATAGAAGTGAATATCTTTTGTATGTATATACCTTCTCAAATTAATAATAAGCTATTATAACAACCCACCTCCCCAAACACGAGGATGAGAGTGACTGATATCACAATGGCTGCCCAAGGGGGCACAAGACTGTCTAAGAATACAGGAAGAGCCTAATATCAGAAGAACCGTTAATTGATTAGTAAGAAAACAGAACTGAATGCCAATATAAGGACACAAAATCACGTAGTTACCTCCATCGCCAAGGCGTTGCCAATTAAAAGTGTACAAAGTAGCAGATGCTGATTCTTTACCACTGGATAAATCTTAGCTGCCAAAATCAGACTAGTTTTAGACCTCTAAACATAAACTAGTTTTTGCAGATTCATACAGTCAGCTATTGGTTTGACTTGGTCTACAATCAACTCAGTCATCTACTATTTTTGCCTAGTGTCCGACATCTTGAAAAACCAATTATATCATTTTCAATCCACAAACCGCT